TTAAATACAGCTGAATGTAGATGCAGCAACCCATGTGAAGACTTTTATTACTATTTTTATGTTTGTCCCCCTATACATTCATAATCGAAATCTATTAATAAGACAGTTACAACCTCTGTTTGAGAATTTAATTAGATTTACTCATAGACGGCGAGCAGAAATTAAGCAAAGACGATGGTATCTCTTAATTGCAAAAAACGTAAAATAGGGATTTGATTGAATGTGACTCTCTCTCTCTCTCTCTCTCTCTCTCTCTCTCTCTCTCTCTCTCTCTCTCTCTCTCTCCACTTAAAATATAATTTGATATAAATTGCATTTTTATATTTTGTTCCAAACTGGATACATACCGACTTTCTTCCACTGTTCGAGAAGTCTATTTGTATCACATGAAAACACAGTACCTGTCTTTATCAACTATTTCTCGAGGTTATATTAAACTTTTCTATATAGACCAATCTGAGTTATATAACTTTGACATTCATACTCAGGGGCCCAAGATCATATATTATATCGACAGGATGCAATTTACAACAAATGATGAAAAGTTAAATAAACGAATTAAAGACAACTTTTTGTAATCAAGCATTTTCATATAGATAAACTTTTGCACAGAAAATAACGGAAATTCATTCATAAATACCATAAAATAAAGACACGGTTAACGTGTTCAAAACCTCAGTATACCGTACTGCACATGGCAGGACCGCATTTATAGAAGCGATTAGGAATGGACACAAGCGGATCACTCTTTCAGGGAGCTTTGTTAATGTGACAACCCATGCTTGACAGGAAAATCACACTTGGCTTCTTTTTGAAGACGTATTTAACACGCTCTTGTATTCTGTATGTATACAACAGGACAAATCTTAATCGCGGTGTTTCAAATCTATTCATTTCAAATATGTTCATTTCAAATGCACTCATTTCAGAATTCCAATGAAAGAAGACATTGAACTAATGTCGGGCGTTGCATTTTGTAAATTGTGATAATGAATTTCGGTCTTCACCTCCGTTTAACTGATTTTATTTCATTATTTTTACATGCTATCATTTGGTATCACGGGATAGGTAACGTATATAGAACGTATGTGAAAGAAACTCGCAACATCAGAGCATACTAGCTTCAAAATCTCACCATATTTCAGTTTTGTTGCGAAAATATTGCTACGTAGTTGGTTATTTTAAACATGAACACCTCCTAACAGGTTGATTTTATTCGTTGCATTGAATTTTAAGTGAAACAGCACCATGTATGCAAATGACTCTAAAACCACATAGTCGACGTCATGACACCAATATAACAAATACACCAAAGGGAGGATGGTGGGCGTGTCTTTGCTTTAAAAAAGGGGGCCTTTAAACGTTACTATGTCCAAATTTGACAACATATTTAAATGAGTAATTTAAATATGCAAATTAGATTTTCCTGATATTTTCGATTTGCGCTTGATCAGAATCTACTTATTATGTAAATAATCAACACGGACTAGATTAATTCGATTTTAATTTGCTGGTGATTGGAATATCGGGGAAAGCGGACTTACCTGTTACCTTTTCAATTTTTTTAAGGTATGATCATCGCAACGCAGTAAAATGTTACGATGAACTTGTTTATTTTTCATTGACTGATATATGCTTAACGAGTAATCATTGTTTGATTCCAAGATGAGCTTTTGTAACGATTATACATTATTCATAGAAAATGTGAAACGAATACTGCAGGCGTCATATTACAGTGTAAAACACGTTATCTGTCTTACAACATTTAACGTACACTTACAGAAAAAAATCGCGAATAGATAATTTGTTTCCTCAATAAAACAAACTGTCCTTCTCTCAATACATTTAAATCAATTATCAGTAAGACAGAAATAATACATGACAAATGCTTTTAGGTATGAGATTTACGTAATTTAAACATACTTCATTTCCGTTTGAGAAATCCTGCCAGATCTCTTGATTACGATTTTTTAGAACAAATGTAATACAGCTGAATGTAGATGAAGCAACCCATGTGAAGACTTTTATTACTATTTTTATGTTTGTCCCCCTATACATTCATAATCGAAATCTATTAATAAGACAGTTACAACCTCTGTTTGAGAATTTAATTAGATTTACTCATATACGGCGATCAGACATTAAGCAAAGACGATGGTATCTCTTAATTGCAAAAAACGTAAAATAGGGATTTGATTGAATGTGACTCTGTCTCTCTGTCTCTCTGTCTCTGTCTCTCTCTCTCTCTCCACTTAAAATATAATTTGATATAAATTGCATTTTTATATTTTGTTCCAAACTGGATACATACCGACTTTCTTCCACTGTTCGAGAAGTCTATTTGTATCACATGAAAACACAGTACCTGTCTTTATCAACTATTTCTCGAGGTTATATTAAACTTTTCTATATAGACCAATCTGAGTTATATAACTTTGACATTCATACTCAGGGGCCCAAGATCATATATTATATCGACAGGATGCAATTTACAACAAATGATGAAAAGTTAAATAAACGAATTAAAGACAACTTTTTGTAATCAAGCATTTTCATATAGATAAACTTTTGCACAGAAAATAACGGAAATTCATTCATAAATACCATAAAATAAAGACACGGTTAACGTGTTCAAAACCTCAGTATACCGTACTGCACATGGCAGGACCGCATTTATAGAAGCGATTAGGAATGGACACAAGCGGATCACTCTTTCAGGGAGCTTTGTTAATGTGACAACCCATGCTTGACAGGAAAATCACACTTGGCTTCTTTTTGAAGACGTATTTAACACGCTCTTGTATTCTGTATGTATACAACAGGACAAATCTTAATCGCGGTGTTTCAAATCTATTCATTTCAAATATGTTCATTTCAAATGCACTCATTTCAGAATTCCAATGAAAGAAGACATTGAACTAATGTCGGGCGTTGCATTTTGTAAATTGTGATAATGAATTTCGGTCTTCACCTCCGTTTAACTGATTTTATTTCATTATTTTTACATGCTATCATTTGGTATCACGGGATAGGTAACGTATATAGAACGTATGTGAAAGAAACTCGCAACACCAGAGCATACTAGCTTCAAAATCTCACCATATTTCAGTTTTGTTGCGAAAATATTGCTACGTAGTTGGTTATTTTAAACATGAACACCTCCTAACAGGTTGATTTTATTCGTTGCATTGAATTTTAAGTGAAACAGCACCATGTATGCAAATGACTCTAAAACCACATAGTCGACGTCATGACACCAATATAACAAATGCACCAAAGGGAGGATGGTGGGCGAGTCTTTGCTTTAAAAAAGGGGGCCTTTAAACGTTACTATGTCCAAATTTGACAACATATTTAAATATGCAAATTAGATTTTTATGATATTTTCGATTTGCGCTTGATCAAGATCTACTTATTATGTAAATAATCAACACGGACTAGATTAACTCGATTTTAATTTGCTGGTGATTGGACTATTGGGAAAAGCGGACTTACCTATTACCTTTTCAATTTTTTTCAAGGTTTGATCATCGCAACGCAGTAAAATGTTACAATGAACTTGTTTATTTTTCATGGACTTATATATGCTTAACGAGTAATCATTGTTTGATTCCAAGATGAGCTTTTGTAACGATTATATTCATAGAAAATGTGAAACGAATACTGCAGGCGTCATATTACAGTGTAAAACACGTTATCTGTCTTACGACATTTAACGTACACTTACAGAAAAATATCGCGAATAGATCATTTGTTTCCTCAATAAAACAAACTGTCCTTCTCTCAATACATTTAAATCAATTATCAGTAAGACAGAAATAATACATGACAAATGCTTTTAGGTATGAGATTTACGTAATTTAAACATACTTCATTTCCGTTTGAGAAATCCTGCCAGATCTCTTGATTACGATTTTTTTAGAACAAATGGTAATACAGCTGAATGTAGATGCAGCAACCCATGTGAAGACTTTTATTACTATTTTTATGTTTGTCCCCCTATACATTCATAATCGAAATCTATTAATAAGACAGTTACAACCTCTGTTTGAGAATTTAATTAGATTTACTCATATACGGCGATCAGAAATTAAGCAAAGATGATGGTATCTCTTAATTGCAAAATATGTAAAATAGGGATTTGATTGAATGTGGCTCTCTCTCTCTCTCTGTTCAGGATGTATGTATGTATGTATTCATGAGTGAGTATATAGGTGTGGGAGGAAATATCTTTGATAAATGTCGGTAATATGAATTTTTGTTTGTGTGTGAGTATTTTGTTAAGCACACGTGTGAGGTTATGTGGGTGTGAATGTTGATGAGTGAGTTTGTGTGCAGGAAGCACTAGATACATGTGCATGATGATAAAGATGATGATGATGATGCATGTACAGGTGTAAGAGGTGTTCAATTCATAGCACACAGGTATGAGACTGTGTGTGTTTTTGTGTGGATTCTCTTGTATATTGTGTATAGTGTAATATGTAAAAACTTGCCATAAAAAAAAAAAAAAAATGGCAATGGGTTTTTTACTTACGGTAACTTTTTAAAGCTTTGCTTGTTGTGCCGGGTGGCGCAGCGGTACCGCACTCGCCTTTCCCCTAGCCTTACGCTTACATTAGGGTCAACAAAAGTGATTAGTATAAGTTGTAATAACTTGTTTCGCAATTGTTGTAAAACGAATAAAATTTATATTTAAAGCTTTGCTTATCATTTTCCTTAATATGGAATGACGGTTTTTCACTTTGTGTTTCTACTAGACATTTTAAAAAGTTAATACTAAAACAATGTCGGTAAGAAAAATTTGTCCAGGAAGTGGTTTTCGTTATCAAAGTCGCTATTTAATTTTCTCTCGTCTGTGAAGTCATCTAGTTCGTTTAAGCTCACGTGATTTCATGATTCTGAACCAGACACGAATTTCCCAGGTCAAAGAAAGGCTTATCTGGACAGTCATTTGTCGAGGCAGCGTCCATCATAACCATTCCTAACCCATTGACGCCATGATTGTGCTGTATTTTATTGGACTTCTATTGGGTAAGATATCAATTAAAACAGATCATTTTTGCTAAGGAATGTTAAGTACATGAACATGTTGGCCTCGATGAGTGGCAATCACTGTACTTTTACCATTGTATGGAAACTACCGTACAAAATGGATAGTGTTAATGATAACTAGAATGATTTATGCAATCGAAGTTTATTTAAATGAGAATTTTTTTCGCTGATAAAAATAAGTATAATGTTGGTACTTTTTATGTACAAGTGTGTTTTGTGTAGCAAGTGATCTGCTACATGGAGCGACCACATCCAATTCGACAACTCCAGTAGTCACCAACGCAGCGACAACTCACGCCCCGTCTAACGCCAACAAAACAGTGTGCTACCCGTTTGTCGGTTGTTTCGACAACTACGCCCCGTTTGATAATGCAAACCTCGACCTTCCCAGATCCCCCGATGCGATTGGTACCGTCATGCTCTTGTTTACACCGGAAGGAGGGTCACAACCGGAAGTGCTGGATTACACTAATGTGAACACAGTGTTGAATTCACACTACAATCATGACCGAAAAACTAAGTTCATCATCCACGGGTTTACCAATAATATCAACACCACGTGGATGTACCAGATGAAGGATGAGTTATTAAAAGTAGTAAGTATGACATCACTCTCCAACGAACATGGGATTCGGTCCTAGAGTTTGCTATATGTATTACATGTTATACATCATGGTACTAATACTTCGGCAAAGAAAAGAGAACAATGTTTGTTTGTTTTATATTTTTGATATTTTATGGGTCGCAAATAAAATACACTTGACTGTAAGTTAGGAACCACCCATATCTTAAATTAGACTTAACTTTGTTCGTTGTATTTAAGAAAAAATATGTAGGAATGATATTTACAGAACCGGAAGCGTTGTATTATTTTAAACGGAGGTGCTCAGAAAGGCCTTTCCAAAATCCAAAAAAAATTGACTTTAACTGTCTCTTATTTACAAAAGTGTTGCCAAAGAACCTTAACATATTACTTGAACAAGAAGATTAACTAATCGACAAGGTCTGTTGGGTCTGAAATGTTAATATCGTGTAAAGGTGCCACGCTTCTGGCACAATTCTGGTGCACGTCGACACGTACATTTGATCAGACGCCGAACCTTACTCTATGTTAACCTTTGCCACTCCTAAATCAATGCAGCCAGTAATTCTCCATTTGTTTGGCATTTTGGATACTATGCATTGACGTTTTGTCCGAGACAGTCCCACAAATACTCAATTTGGTCTGGTGACATTGCAGGTCACGAGGGCGTCTTTATCGCTTCTTGTTGAATATAATCTTGCGCTTGGCGGGTATTGTGTGGTTTGGTTTTGTCATCTATTAGGACAGCTCGATTTGCCAATGGAAGGGTATCGAAATGCAGAACAATTAAAGGTCGAAGGATTTAAAGTTTCATCAAGGTGATACGAAGCTTTCCCCAAAACAGCAACGCCGCCATCACTGCTATTGTGCCCAGAATTTGGTTCTGATGGTATGCCATTTTTCTTGGTCTCTAAACACGGACCCTGTCGTCTGCAAGAAAAAGTACAAAGCGGTTTTCATCAGATGTTCGCTAAGACAAAATTTCCACGTCCGGTCATCAAGTGCCCATTGCAATTCTGCTCGTTTTCCATTCTAGTCAACAAAAGACGCTTTACTGGTCAGTGCGAGTGAAGTCGCCTATTGTTAGAAAGTCTGTTGACAGTACGCCAGCTAACACGAACATTGGCTCGCCTTGTCTGACTTCACAGAAGCCTGTCTATACAGAAGTCCATCTTCTCTATCTGTCGTCGTTCGAGTTCTGTCAGACTTGGGACTCTCACTCCTCAACATGCCTGGTTTGGATTAGACCCTGTATAAATCAGGAAATAACAGAATGTCTGACATTTAAAAAAAAAACAGCAATATATTGTCTGTATGTCAAACCACTTTGATCCGTTCCATAAGCTTGCCATCTTTCAGCATTTGTCAATTTTCGACGTGCCGTATGCATTTCCAGTAATACAGGTGCAGACTCTGATTTAGATAGTGTACCCCAGGCACCAAACATATTAGGAGACACTAAATGAGTACAAGGTTGATTTTTACAAAAGGGAAATTGTATGTTTTGATCAGAATTTCCATACCGAAATGGTTGATACCTAAATTATAGACAAGTGTATCTCTAAATGTGCATCCCCGTACAAAAATATGTTAGATCTTCCCAACCAGTGTTCGATCGGCGTTATTGATCAAATATTGATCAAGTTATCATAATCTAAGTTGATATCGCGAGGAAGACACCTTGCTTTGCAGAAAATAATTCTCGACTTTATATGATGAGGGACAAGCTGGTAGAAGTATTTGTATAATTAGGTTACTGACAGATGGGTTATTGACTCAGAGAGGATAAGGTCACTAGGCCTTACTAGAACAATCCAACGAGGAACATGAAGGACATTAAAACAACCTCGATTGATTGTAAGATGTTCACGTGTTATCAAATTACGACACATAAATGTAGAAATGTTCAGGATGACATTCAGCAATAAGGATGGTTGAAACATCAAGCGTTCCTCAGACTATGGATAACGTTAGAATATGTCGTGCCAAGTTTACTGCCGACTTTGCACTTTCGTCCAATTGGTGAACTGTATAACTCAGACTTTGCTTGATAAGGAAACAGACGTTTTCGAAGACAAATAATATATTGTAAAGGATCCAGATACAGATAACATAGGCATATATAGCTATGATTTAAGTAGCCATGTGTTAGGTGTTAACAAATATGGATATCATGATAGAGTTGACAAACCAATTCAAATGTAATTTGTTTATCGCCTATAGTGACTAATGTGCTACACTGTGAATGTTGAGGGAATAAGGTCAAAGGTCATCTAATTCAGAAATCCAAAGTTAGCAGCAGAGATGATCCTACAAAAGAAATCTAAAGGTTTTCAAAACATTAAAGTACAACTGAATGGTAAGATATATCACACAACACATGAATGAATGCCAGATGAAGCAGTGCGACGTACGATACATATGATATGTAAAAGTGAGAACATCAGGTACAAAGGCCTTCGAAATATCACATGTAAACATTTTTAAAATGAAACTAAAACTCGTGATCGTATCTACAGGAGCCCATGAACGTGGTGGTGGTAGCGTGGGGCCCGGGTGCAGCCTTTCCAGACTACTTCCAGGCAGTGGCCAACACGCGCATGGTGGGCACACAGATGCGACTGATGATTGATCAAATGGTGCTGACGGGCGCAAGTCTTGCTGATTTCCACTTGATCGGTCACAGTCTTGGGGCGCACACAAGCGGTTACACGGGCTATCTATTACACGGAAAGTTAGCGCGAATCAGTGGTAAATATATCAAAACTGGCGCTATTATCTTGTTCCGATTTACATGAGTAGTGTATCCTGGTATGTAAGTCAGATCTGGTGTGTCGCTTGAGACAGGTCATCTGAAGTGTTTAGTGTACAGGGTTTTCTTTACTAAATTTTGATAAACAAAAGAATAATGGGATAATATGGCTGAATTTTTGTTAAACATGCGAATTATATATGTAGGTTTGGACGCTGCCGAGCCGGACTTCGAAAATCACCCAAAAATGATCCGTCTTGACGCTGACGACGCTATGTTCGTTGATGTGATCCACACGAATGGGGCACCCATTTCCACGGGTGGAGCGGGTCTAATGCAACAAAGTGGACATGTAGACTTCTACGTCAACGGCGGGGAGACACAGCCAGGATGTCCTAGCCAAATCTCAGGAGTTATCGGAGAGATTTTCAATGGCAATTTTGACCGTAAATGTTTTCAAAAGATATAATTTAGTTTTACAATCTGTGATAAAACAACGTAACTAAATTAAGTATACATTATGTAGATATAATTCATGTGGTCCCAGTTCCATGTACCACTGGAAGAAAGAAATGTAAACAATGACGATTCACTTTGTTAAGTATCTGAAAAGAACGAGAGTATATAGGATCCCTCATCTCGATTCAAAACCCGTCCGCAACTGCAAAATAATAGAGATAACATTTATCTATAATTACTTAATTATGTTCAATGTCACGACATTTCTGTGTTTAGTTTCATAAATGTGATATGACGTGTGTCTACTCCGTATTGGGAGGTATGTCCTGTATCTATTACTGATATAGAAGTTCATACAGCACTACATTCCTTATAAAGCGCTCGTCTAGATGAGAAAGCGAATACAAATGAAATTCAAAATAAATACAGACAATGTTGGTAAGGATCTATGCTTAAAAAATCGAAAACTAGATAGAAAAAAATGATAAATAAATTAGTAGTTACCGACATACATTTTTTATTATTGTATGAAAACCAGATCAAGGTCACTCCTTATCACTGATGAACTGTTTATCCTTGGGTTTATCTTGAGTTTATCAGTTCAAGAACCATTGTAATTTATCGATACAATTTTTTTTTCAGATTTGGGAGATACAGTCAGCTGTAGTCATTCCCGTTCTCACGAGGTCTTCACCGAGTCCATTAACTCACCTTGTCCATTCACAGGCTATCCGTGTAGTTCATATGTAAGATAGTTTTAGTGCCGGCGTCATGTTTGCAACTTTTTTTAGTATCCGTCATCACAAAGATCCCCTGTGAGTTTTCATCACAGCAATCATATCGAATATATCAACGACGGTTAATTTCGAAAGCATGTCCTTTAAACTGCTTGTCCAAGACAGTCAATTGGTGCAAGTTTAAAGCAATTTCATTCTTGTCCATTTAATTTATGAATTTATGTCAGCATTATACCTGCTTTTTCGTTTTGTAAGTTCTGATTGACAAACGGCACATCTCAGTGCACAATCTTTCGTTGAAGGATAAATTCCAAAAAGGCGCATGCCTGACTTGTGGAAGTAGTGGGTGCGCTCAGATGGGTTACTATGCTGACCAGTACCATACCAGGGGCAAACTATACTTGAATACCGAGTCCAGCACCCCATATTGTGGTAAATAAGGCATTTTCTATCAATGTATGTTCTTCATAGTCAGGAAATCATTCTCCACAAACGCGTGCATTTAGCATGCTATTGCAGACATGTGTCGGTGGACAGCATCGTTGCTTTGATTTCATAGAAACCCGAGATAGAAATAAAAACCTCTAAAATCCTGTTTTTAATTTAAGCTTTTTGTCCTTGCCTAATCCATGACTTTAACGTATACGAGATAATGCTTTTTCGGTACCTAGCAGCCGATAAATATGCCCATTCCTCCCCGCTACATCTTGTTGGCATTCATTACCAAGCCATTGTTTTCTTTAGCTTTTCAGTACAGAGTCATCGTGAGCTCTTCAGCAGACTCCAGGGGAACTGTCGCTGTGAGATTAAACGGTGTATGGGGCACTTCCGGTTGGCACAGCATTACTGCGTAAGTGTAACGTTACAAGGTAACGGAGTAACTGGCTAGAGAGCGAGACAATACGGAATTACTTTAATTAGGTTATTCCTGATGAAATATTTGTAATAAATATATCTAGCAGGGACACAGTGTAACATCGGCACTTTACGGTGACCAGACATAGCTAATAACGAAAAGTAAAACATGACGAAAACACACACACTAAGAAAATCCCCATACATACTTGCCAGAGCTATTAGAAGTCAAAACCTCGAGTTATGAACGACGTTTCACGCACTGATAATAGCACCAAATGTGTCTGTGGTACTTAAAAACATATGGTATGTCTTAGTGACTTTTGTCCATTGGAGAAGTACACATATTGTCGAGCGCATTATAACCCGGTACATATGAAGTATTGTTTGTAGTGCGACAGATTTGTTGAGACATCCGGCAATTCTTGTTCATATCTCGCCCAACTAGAAGTCGTACACACGTTTCCCATACGTCAGCATTATCGGGTCAGTAGCGGGGTGTTAAAGTAACTCCCAAACAAAACTTGAGCCATTTACTATACAACTGACTTTAAAGGTTTATTTTTTTCATTTTATTTTCATTTCTGTTCAAAAATAACAGGAAAACGTTTTATGATATTATCGAAATATGAATCAGTTTTCAGACGTGGTACTTCCGTATTGCTTTGAACATTTTAGAACAGATTGAGCAAGGCTTATGTCAGGTCTTTAGCAAGTATTTATCAGATAAATTTCTTGTTATGCTTTGCTTCTAGCCGCTTCGGTGCTAGGTATAACTATCCAGAGAATAGCGAAATACTTCTCAGAATCTGGAATACATATGCTTGGGAACTTTAGGATTGCGGTATGGTATAGCATTACGTAGAAAGGGCAATACAGCCGGAAGCAGTACTTACACAGATAATGTATCACAAACCAGCCACGTCAATGAGGAGAAATCATTTTACCGTCATTTAAAAGTGACTATTTCCGAGATAAAAGCGATCTTTATAAGACAAATTTAGTACACTCTATTGTCACATTACTTACAAAATATCTACTTTCTAGTAGGTATTAGATTTGCCGTCACCAGTCAGCTTTTCTTGTTATGTTGGTCTCTGGTATGAACAATTGTAATCACATCATGGTTTAATTACAAATGTTTCAATTAATGTTAGATTCCTTCTTAACCTAGCCCTGACGTGGACCTAACATCTGGTCACAACCTTCAGAAGCTGGTCACCTCGTCTGTCGAGGTCGGACAAATTCAGAGTATAGACCTCCGCTACACAAAAAAAGCCTCCAATTTCTTTGGTCTCTTCGGCGGAGAGGACTCTTGGTCATCCAATTCCGTATCTGTAACTTCCGGTGAGCTGGGACAAAGGTGAGTCACGTGATATGCAAAAGTTCGGGAGCGCGTTGATTAGAAATATTTTGTAATAAAAATTAATGATACGTTTCTTACGCTGTACAGTGAATTTATTCTGATTCTAAAACAACTGTAAAATTGTAATTGTGTACAACTATTGATGTGCAGCCTCCGGCTCGTGAACACGAACACACAACAGGTGTGTAATGACTTATCAACAACAACGATTATGGAATGTAAATGTAAACCAATTTACACCAATCAATGAATACTTGGTAGCCAACTGATGCCAAGAGGCCAAATGCATATTAATCAGACCGTGGATATGGTATCCGCTATAGAAACAGCTACAAAGTGCGCGTGCTCAAATCAACATATGAAAGTAATAATACGTTTTGTTACCTCCGGAGTGATTGATTTTTCACTCGTGTCATGTGGGACTTCAATAAATGAGTGTGTTAGTGAGTTGACCAACATACATAATTTACCTCAAGTGAAAATCTGAGGAGCAAGGTTCAACACGCCGTACCACTGGCGATTTATGTTTCAAGGGAAGCTGAGAAACGGACCGGTCCGTGTCATCGTGGCTGTGTCCCTGCTGCACACATGTTTCGTGGCTCTCTCGTATGTTGTTCAATGAGGTAGCCACTAGCTTCTACAAAGAGACTCCGACTCAAAGTGATCCTAGATATTCCTGGGGTGACTAATACTGGTGTTATATCCTCTATCACATGTGTAAAATTAACTATTGATATAAGTGATGAATTATTTTGTAATTAACCGGATATCGTCTTATTTTACAGTTTTCAGTTCTGTACCAATAACCGTGTACTCCAGGATGGCACTCCAATAAATATAAGGAGAGCGTCAGCCCATTCTTGTTAATGTCCGGCATTGACGTGATGATTACAACTCGGTACGGCTGTATGTCTGGAGATGTACCAAGATGTTGGAGAACTATTCATTTTACCCTATGTCACTGCACTTTACTATGCACAGACAATGTTAACACTGATAAAATCTATTTGGTGTGAAATAGTTGTCAGCGATATTCTCATGAAATCGTGTAATGACAGCGAAGAAGCATTGTCCATGTGGTGTTTTTGGTTGTCTATTATTTGTTACGTTTTTGTTTAGATTTATAAATAATGATGAATTCCTATGAATAACTAGCTCCAGACATTTACACGTGTATAGAAGCATCGCATCTTACAGGTTTTTCTATTAAAATTTTAAAATTTTAATTTTTTGTCTTTCTTTATCAAATTGTCTTACACATGAATGTGGGAACTCATTGTGAGATGATTCTCCCATAAATGACTTCTCTTTTAATTCTTCCTGAGGCTCTGATGTCTATGATTATTCCGTAATTTGTCATAAATGACTTCTAATATTTATAAATGTTGATAACTTAATTACTACATATTAAATACACATTTTAAACTGACAATTTGTCAACAGCCAAACACGTGACTACCAATTCCGATATCTAACGAACGTCAGTCGGAAAACATCGGGAATTCCCGTCATTATTCGACTTTGAAGTTATGTCATGATTGGCTTTAGTTTCCAAGTTATCTCGTTCATGGTTTCCAAATGAAGATATGTCATAGCCTCACAGTGATCAGGAATGCATTATTTCGATCATAAAGGAAATTTCCAAACATCAATTATCATCATGCTCTCTTGAAAATACTCTTATTGCAAAGAACATAAACAAAAAACAAAGTTGAAACAAACAATACTGATAGCATTATACATTTAGTTTATCGTTATAACGTGTGGCAGAAAGTGTGTTTCCATCCTGACTTACGAATGTAGCCTGTTTGCCTGTATACGGGCATGCCAGCCATAAAAAGACATTAATGTGAAAGTACATGTATATCATATCAAAATGATTCAAATCCTTCTAAAGTAATGATGTGGGTGGCTTTCAAAGACTCCTTTGTGAAAAGACCGTTTGCGTGCACTTCGATCCAAGAAACGTCACCTCACATAATATTGATCACTTAGCTGGAGAAGCAAACTTTTTTTTAAAAGCAACTGAAAAATTGGTCTCTCCCCAATACACCGTTACTTGTGGTCCCCCGGATTCGTCTCAAAAAGTATAACCGATTTTAGTCATCATGAAGAGATATACCAGCCTGTGTATATTTGATAAGGCCCCTGACACCTACGCCGGAGACATATATATCTTAAAACCATTATGGTCATAACCACTCTATATATTATTCCATTTACTATAAGGAGTGATCTGCTGCTATTGTTTTCAACCTAGTTATGACTACATAAAATGTTGCTTTAAATTGTCTCCTTACTCAGGTTGATTTATCAAAAGTAAGGTAACCCGCATCGTTTTTTTTCTTTTTCTTTTCTCTTCTTTCCTTTTTTGTTTTTTTTTTTTTTTTTTTTTAGGGGTTTTGTTTTGTTTGCTTGGGTTTTTTGTATTTTTTTGTTTTTGTTTGTTTTTTTTTTTTTTTTTTTTTTTCGCCTGAATATCAAAGATTTAATGCAGAATGTACCAATGTAGCTTCTGTCAATGTCTGGTGACGTCAGTGACGGTTTTTGTATGTTATGTGTGCAAAATGATATAACTAAGATAGTAATGTGTATAATTTGTTGAAGTAAAACTCTATCATATGTAGTAAATTAAATATTTGGGTGTATTTCTCATTCTCAGTTTTTTGCTTTCATTTTGTTGTATTTTCAACGATAAATGTGATAATTAGCGTTACTTGGAACATTGGGAAATACGTAGATTTCATTATTTAACCACTCACTAGCTGTACATGTCTTTCTATTATGTACATTAAACGAAATTCTGTAGGGAAAAATGTTGTCAAGTCCTTGAATACAGTGGAAATGTGGTGGGGAACTCTACCTTAATTTGGACAACCAGATATGTTTCAGAAGACATTAAAATGTACAGAATTCAATTGAGTGCGTTTATCAGAATAAAAGTAGAGAAAAGAAAAAGAAGATATGTTACACTCATTTTTGAAAATATTCTCGAGTGATTCAAACGGATATCCCTTGGTCTATGTATATATTGCGTTCTTTTAACGTTTTTCTACATACAGAGCTAGAGAAATACTGAAACATTCTCCAGCGTTTTTTGTATGTCAAGTTCGTGCTCTGGTAAACATTTACACGTAAAGGGAGATAACTCTTGAAAACCAGCCAAAAATTGTAAATCTCTAGCAGCAAAGGAGCCTTGGAACGCACTCTCTTTGTTCTAGTACTATGATACTCCATAATCAATTCTGATTATTCCAACATGGCACCTCATTCTGATACTAAAATGATACTCAAGTACTCAGATTTGATACTCCATAATTCTGATTATTCCAACATGGTACCTCACTCTGATACTAAAATGATACTCAAGTACTCCGATTGGATACTCCATGATTTCTGATTATTCCAACATAGTACCTCATTCTGATACTAAAATGATACTCAAGAACTCTGATTGGATACTCCATAATTCTGGGTCTGTATCCATATCAGTAAATAACAACCCGAGTATATAAGCAATAAAGAAACCTAACCTATTCTTCTGTTACGTGGTCGACCTGAAAAATAGTTACCCTGAACGTAATGCCAATTTGTCAGTTGCCAATCTCAAACAGTAAACTACAAGCCCACAAATTATAGATGACCCTGAAAATGGTACTTCCGAAACTTAAACAGACCGGAGTGACCTTCTTAAGAACGGGGTCAAAAAGGACTATTCATATCAGCGGAATTTCCGTCTATTCCCGGATGTATGTGACGTAGTTTCGTTTTAAGTTTGTATATCTGAAATAAGGTCGATGTCAGTATTTGATAATAATGGAGTTCAGGACGACAGCACGTTAAGTCTTAGTTGTTCTTTTTAATCGGGATCAAGTGGAAGTCCATTGTGTAACAAACCTCAACAAAGTCGATCATGTGTTTCTTAAACTATTAAAGATACTTCAAATGAAAAGTAACTGAGAGATCTTCACATTTAAGATAAGTTCTATAAGTTTAGAAATAAAGTTTACATAATCGTCGATAGCTCATGTTCGATCTTAACGAGACTATCGGGAGTTATCGACCGTGTTTCTGTACCCTCTCGTTCAGTTTCTATATCATATATCGACTATGTTATACAGATACGGTATCTGATAAAATAGAGGGACCAACATTTCCCCTTGATTAGAGTCATAATACAGATAGTTCCCTTGGGTCTAGGACTGCTAATATCTATCATTGCAGGCAACCCTTAATGTGGAGAGAAATATTTTTGACCGATACATCGTTGGAACGGTTCTATCTACCTGCGAGTTGTATATCACAATTCGCGAACAAATACAGATATTGAGTAGGCACATAGGGATGTTTTAATAAACATACAGACTAACTTCATACCATATAACGAGTTTAAATCTAGTTTCGTTTTGAAAACGACCAAGTCAAGATTGGGACTAGAAACAGCGTCATCGGGGACAGCACTAACACTCATGAGTGATAACCATACCATAAAACTTTAAACTATTGTAACATATATGACACATATTGCCATAAAGCACACACGTACCTTAATCGTAAAACTAGGTCGGGGAACCAGGTAGACACGGAAGTGAAATGCAAAAGATAATAAATCTGTTATTGAGGATAACGACACGAGTGCACCTACCAACATTTGATCATATTGAAGTGGGGAAAACCACACACAACAAGTGTGTAGTTTGGCGCTCACGTAGGGCAAATTCTTGTGGTAATTTCTCTTCAGTACTGTACACGAGCACTGTAGGAGTATCTGTGGATTAGCATGAGGGAAACACATTAGAATCCCGAGCCATGGAAGACTCAGAGACAGTCCCGGATGTCAGCTACAGGTCGGAGGTGGCTTTAATATCAGTTTTAGATACACTTTAATTGATACTCGTGTGTTTACACTGACTGTGTACTTTATCACTAATTGACACAACGTCATGATAACTGCACCGTTTACCAACTACTTCCCCCAAGTTGTTTAAGTCGAGCCAGGGAAAGTTTACTCCAGTCTTTATAATTCAGACTTTCGAAAAGATGGAGGTAAGTTCCATAGCTGCTCTGTATCTCTGTGATTTGTTTATGTTTTACATATTTTGTAAATGTCTACTTTATAATCATGTATACACAGAATAATAAATAGATCCAACTTAGGAGTAACAGAGGGCTGCTACAAACCACCAGGGCTTTGTCAAAATTTAGTCTTCATGCTGCAATCAGTGGTAAGAAAAATAAAGTGTGAATAGAACTGGTGATAAACTATAAACATGTATTCTGTAATACAAAGTATATACTGAGTGAGAGAAATATGTATCTTTATAGCATGTATCTGTATATAGTTGGTATCTCTATAAAGTTTGTGTCAATATAGTGTTTATATCTACAGTTTGTTTCTGTTTGTGTTCAGTGTGTATCTTTATAGAGGGTATATCTTTATCTATTCTGTATCAGTATAGAGTGTATATATAAAGAGTTTGTGTCTATATAAAATGTATGTGTATATATAGATAGATATTGTATCTATAAGGAAATTGTATCTATATAGAGTTTGTATCTATATAAAATGTATGTCTATATATATATAGATATTGTATCTATAAAGAAATTGTGTCAATATAGAGTTTGTAACTATATAGAATGTGTATCTATATAGAGTATGTTATCTTTTTAGAGATTGTATCTATATAGAGTATGAATATCTATATAGGAATTGTATCTATATAGAGTATGAATATCTATATAGTGTTTGTATCTATATAGAGTATGAATATCTATATAGTGTTTGTATCTAATATCTATATAGTGTTTGTATCTATATAGAGTATGAATATCTGTATAGTGTTTGTATCTATATAGAGTATGAATATCTATATAGTGTTTGTATCTATATAGAGTATGAATATCTATATAGGGATTGTATCTATATAGAGATGAATATCTATATAGTGTTTGTATCTATAAAGAGTATGAACATCCATATAGTGTTTGTATCTATATAGAGTATGAATATCTATATAGTGTTTGTATCTATATAGAGTATGAATATCTATATAGTGTTTGTATCTATATAGAGTATAAATATTTATATAGTGTTTGTATCTATATAGAGTATGAATATCTATATAGTGTTTGTATCTATATAGAGTATGAATATCTATATAGGGATTGTATCTATATAGGGTATGAATATCTATATAGTGTTTGTATCTATATAGAGTATGAATATCTATATAGTGTTTGTATCTATATAGAGTATGAATATCTATATAGTGTTTGTATCTATGTAGAGTATGAATATCTATATAGTGTTTGTATCTATGTAGAGTATGAATATCTATATAGTGTTTGTATCTATGTAGAGTATGAATATCTATATAGTGTTTGTATCTATATAGAGTATGAATATCTATATAGTGTTTGTATCTATATAGAGTATGAATATCTATATAGTGTTTGTATCTATATAGAGTATGAATATCTATATAGTGTTTGTATCTATATAGAGTATGAATATCTATATAGTGTTTCTATAGGTATAGAGTTTATATACGTATAGATTTTAAACTTTTAAAACTCTTTAAAACTTACAAATGTATAGTACAATAAACACTGTGATGGTAGAAAGATGATAATTATGTGTACATCAGAATGATTGTTTTAAATACCAACAACTACTATTTCCGAAAGCTTGTCTCACTTCAGGCGACATGAACAGAATTACATAACTACGTCTTCTGCAAACAAAATAACATGTATAAACAAAAAATACCTGTTTGAGGACCACATTGAAGTTGATGTATACATGACTCTGACTGTGCTGTAGATTATCATTCAATTTTTTTTTATCAAATTTGTTAAATATTGTAAGTAGTTTGTATATATATATATATATATAATACAAACCAGTACAAGAGATTCTACAAGTCTGTGTATTACAAAAGTAATTTACATATTTATATATTCTTGTCATTGTGCATTTATTAAACTGATTTAGATATGAATGATGTCATATATTTCAATCTGACCTGTAAGTACTTGAATGCCTGCACTAGAGAATATCCTCTTACACATCCCTGTATGATATATCATACACAGAATAATATCAAAGACATTGGACACAAACTCTCCACCCACACTTTAATAATAACACATCACTTATCACTGAGTGCAGATTTAAGTGATTTTCAAGGGTCAAGTTAGTCTATTGGAGGATTCAACTGTTGTGGTAGTAGAACAATATACATTATAGGTCACATTGTAAGTACAATGTTAAACATGTCACACACTTCAGTACAATGTTACAGTGGTCACACACTTCAGTACAATGTTACACTGGTCACTGATCACACACTTCAGTACAATGTTACACTGGTCACACACTTCAGTACAATGTTACACTGGTCACATACTCCAGTACAATGTTACAGTGGTCACATACTTCAGTACAATGTTACACTGGTCACACACCTCAGTACAATGTTACAGTGGTCACACACTTCAGTACAATGTTACACTGATCACTGATCACACACTTCAGTACAATGTTACGCTGGTCACACACTTCAGTACAATGTTACACTGGTCACATACTTCAGTAAAATGTTACACTGATCACTGATCACACACTTCAGTACAATGTTACAGTGGTCACACACTTCAGTACAATGTTACATTGGTCACACACTTCAGTACAATGTTACACTGATCACTGATCACACACTTCAGTACAATGTTACACTGATCACACACTTCAGTACAATGTTACACTGATCACTGATCACACACTTCAGTACAATGTTACGCTGGTCACACACTTCAGTACAATGTTACACTGGTCACATACTTCAGTAAAATGTTACACTGATCACTGATCACACACTTCAGTACAATGTTACGCTGGTCACACACTTCAGTACAATGTTACACTGGTCACATACTTCAGTAAAATGTTACACTGGTCACACACTTCAGTACAATGTTACACTGGTCACATACTTCAGTACAATGTTACACTGGTCACACACTTCAGTACAATGTTACACTGGTCACACACTTCAGTACAATGTTACACTGATCACTGATCACACACTTCAGTACAATGTTACACTGGTCACATACTTCAGTAAAATGTTACACTGATCACTGATCACACACTTCAGTACAATGTTACGCTGGTCACACACTTCAGTACAATGTTACACTGGTCACATACTTCAGTAAAATGTTACACTGATCACTGATCACACACTTCAGTACAATGTTACACTGGTCACATACTTCAGTAAAATGTTACACTGGTCACATACTTCAGTACAATGTTACGCTGGTCACACACTTCAGTACAATGTTACACTGGTCACATACTTCAGTAAAATGTTACACTGATCACTGATCACACACTTCAGTACAATGTTACACTGGTCACTGATCACACACTTCAGTACAATGTTACAGTGGTCACTGATCACACACTTCAGTACAATGTTACAGTGGTCACACACTTCAGTACAATGTTACACTGGTCACTGATCACACACTTCAGTACAATGTTACAGTGGTCACACACTTCAGTACAATGTTACAGTGGTCACACACTTCAGTACAATGTTACATTGGTCACTGATCACACACTTCAGTACAATGTTACACTGGTCACTGATCACACACTTCAGTACAATGTTACAGTGGTCACACACTTCAGTACAATGTTACAGTGGTCACACACTTCAGTACAATGTTACATTGGTCACTGATCTCACACACTTCAGTACAATGTTACACTGATCACACACTTCAGTACAATGTTACACTGGTCACTGATCACACACTTCAGTACAATGTTACACTGATCAAATACTTCAGTACAATGTTACACTGGTCACTGATCACACACTTCAGTACAATGTTACACTGGTCACACACTTCAATACAATGTTACACTGGTGACTTGTCACACACTTCAGTACAATGTTACACTGGTCACACACTTCAGTACAATATTACACTGGTCACACACTTCAGTACAATGTTACACTGATCAAACACTTCAATACAATGTTACACTGATCACACACTTCAGTACAATGATACACTTGTCACACACTTCAGTACAATGTTACAGTGGTCACATACTCCAGTACAATGTTACAGTGGTCACATACTTCAGTACAATGTTACACTGGTCACACACTTCAGTACAATGTTACAGTGGTCACACACTTCAGTACAATGTTACACTGGTCACTGATCACACACTTCAGTACAATGTTACAGTGGTCACTGATCACACACTTCAGTACAATGTTACAGTGGTCACACACTTCAGTACAATGTTACACTGGTCACTGATCACACACTTCAGTACAATGTTACAGTGGTCACACACTTCAGTACAATGTTACAGTGGTCACACACTTCAGTACAATGTTACATTGGTCACTGATCACACACTTCAGTACAATGTTACCTTGATCACACACTTCAGTACAATGTTACACTGGTCACTGATCACACACTTCAGTACAATGTTACACTGATCAAATACTTCAGTACAATGTTACACTGGTCACTGATCACACACTTCAGTACAATGTTACACTGGTCACACACTTCAATACAATGTTACACTGGTGACTTGTCACACACTTCAGTACAATGTTACACTGGTCACACACTTCAGTACAATATTACACTGGTCACACACTTCAGTACAATGTTACACTGATCAAACACTTCAATACAATGTTACACTGATCACACACTTCAGTACAATGATACACTTGTCACACACTTCAGTACAATGTTACAGTGGTCACACACTTCAGTACAATGTTACACTGATCACACACTTCAGTACAATGTTACACTTGTCACACACTTCAGTACAATGTTACACTGATCACACACCTCATTACAATGTTACACTGGTCACACACTTCAGTACAATGTTACACTGGTCACACACTTCAGTACAATGTTACACTGGTGACTAGTCACACACTTCAGTGTAATGTTACATGGGTCACACACTTCAGGACAATGTT